ACTGCATCTTTCATGCCACTCCGGTTGTTTTAGTCGTCTAGTATTTGTAAAACTGCATCTTTCATGCCACTCTGGTTGTTTTAGTTGTCTAGTATTTGTAAAACTGTATCTTTCATGCCACTCCGGTTGTTTTAATCGTCTAGTATTTGTAAAACTGCATCTTTCATGCCACTCCGGTTGTTTTAGTTGTCTAGTATTTGTAAAACTGTATCTTTCATGCCACTCCGGTTGTTTTTAGTCGTCTAGTATTTGTAAAACTGCATCTTTCATGCCAGTCTGGTTGTTTTAGTCGTCTAGTATTTGTAAAACTGCATCTTTCATGCCACTCCGGTTGTTTTTGTTGTATAGTATTTGTAAAACTGTATCTTTCATGCCGCTCCGGTTGTTTTAGTTGTATAGTATTTGTAAAACTGCATCTTTCATGCCTCTCCGGTTGTTTCAGTCGTCCAGTATTTGTACAACTGTATCTTTCATGCCAGTCTGGTTGTTTTAGTCTTCTAGTATTTGTAAAACTGCATCTTTCACGCCACTCCGGTTGTTTGAGTTGTCCAGTATTTGTAAAACTGCATCTTTCATGCCTCTCTGGTTTTTTAGTTGTCTATTATTTGTAACAATGCATCTTTCATGCAACTCCGGTTGTTTTAGTTGTATAGTATTTGTACAACTGTATCTTTCATGCCACTTCGGTTGTTTTAATCGTCTAGTATTTGTAAAACTGCATCTTTCATGCCTCTCTGGTTGTTTTACTTGTCTATTATTTGTAAAACTGTATCTTTCATGGCGCTCCGGTTGTTTTAGTTGTATAGTATTTGTAAAACTGTATCTTTCATGCCACTCCGGTTGTTTTAATCGTCTAGTATTTGTAAAACTGCATCTTTCATGCCGCTCCGGTTGTTTTAGTTGTCTATTATTTGTAAAACTGCATCTTTCATGCCACTCCGGTTGTTTTAGGTGTATGGTATTTGTAAAACTGCAACTTTCATGCCACTCCGGTTGTTTTAGGTGTATAGTATTTGTAAAACTGCATCTTTCACGCCAGTCCGGTTGTTTTAGTTGTATAGTGTTTGTAAAACTGCATCTTTCATGCCACTCCGGTTGTCTTAGTCGTCTAGTATTTGTAAAACTGCATCTTTCACGCCGCTCTGGTTGTCTTAGTCGTCTAGTATTTGTACAACTGTATCCTTTATTGCTGCTCCGCTTGTCTTAGTAGTCTAGTATTTGTAAAACTGCATCTTTCATGCCTCTCCGGTTGTCTTAGTAGTCTAGTATTTGTACAACTGTATCTTTCTTACCGCTCCGCTTGTCTTAGTAGTCTAGTATTTGTACAACTGCATCTTTCTTGCTGCTCCGCTTGTCTTAGTAGTCTAGTATTTGTAAAACTGCATCTTTCTTGCCTCTCCGCTTGTCTTATTCGTCTTGTATTTGTAAAACTGCATCTTTCTTGCCACTCCGGTTGTTTTAGTCGTCCAGTATTTGTAAAACTGCACCTTTTACGCCCCTCTGGTTGTCTTAGTAGTCTAGTATTTGTAAAACTGCACCTTTCATGCCTCTCCGGTTGTCTTAGTCGTCTTGTATTTGTCAAACTGCATCTTTCATGCCTCTCCGTTTGTCTTAGTCGTCTAGTATTTGTAAAACTGTATCTTTCTCGCCGCTCCGGTTGTTTTAGTCGTCCCGTACTTGTAAAAGTGCATCTATCACGCCGCTCTGGTTGTCTTAGTCGTCTAGTATTTAAACAACTGCATCTTTCATGCCACTCCGGTTGTCTTAGCAGTCTAGTATTTGTACAACTGTATCTTTCTTGCCGCTCCGCTTGTCTAAGTCGTCTAGTATTTGTAAAACTGCATCTTTCATGCCACTCCGGTTGTTTTAGTAGTCTAGTATTTGTACAACTGTATCTTTCTTGCCGCTCTGCTTGTCTTAGTAGTCTAGTATTTGTAAAACTGCATCTTTCATGCCACTCTTGTTGTTTTACTCGTCTAGTATTTGTAAAACTGCACCTTTCATGCCTCTCCGGTTGTCTGAGTTGTCCAGTATTTGTAAAACTGTATCTTTCATGCCGCTCGGTTGTTTGAGTCGTCCAGTATTTGTAAAACTGCACCTTTCATGTCACTCTGGTTATTTTAGTTGTCCAGTATATGTAAAACTGTATTTTTCATGCCGCTCTGGTTGTTTTAGTCGTCTAGTATTTGTAAAACTGCACCTTTCATGTCACTCTGGTTATTTTACTTGTCTAGTATTTGTAAAACTGTATTTTTCATGCCACTCTGGTTGTTTTAGTCTTCTAGTATTTGTAAAACTGCACCTTTCTTGCAACTCCGCTTTTCTTAGTAGTCTAGTATTTGTAAAACTGCACCTTTCATGCCTCTCAGAATGTCTGAGTTTTCCAGTATTTGTAAAACTGTATCTTTCATGCCGCTCGGTTGTTTTAGTCGTCCAGTATTTGTAAAACTGCACCTTTCATGTCACTCTGGTTATTTTAGTTGTCTAGTATATGTAAAACTGTATTTTTCATGCCGCTCTGGTTGTTTTAGTCGTCTAGTATTTGTAAAACTGCACCTTTCATGTCACTCTGGTTATTTTAGTTGTCTAGTATATGTAAAACTGTATTTTTCATGCCGCTCTGGTTGTTTTAGTCGTCTAGTATTTGTAAAACTGCACCTTTCATGTCACTCTGGTTATTTTAGTTGTCTAGTATATGTAAAACTGTATTTTTCATGCCGCTCTGGTTGTTTTAGCGGTCCAGTATTTGTAAAACTGCATCTTTCATGCCACTCTGGTTGTTTTAGTCTTCTTGTATTTGTAAAACTGCACCTTTCATGCCACTCTGCTTGTTTTAGTCGTTTTCTATTTGTAAAACTGCACCTTTCATGCCACTCCGGTTGTTTTAGTTGTCTAGTATTTGTACAACTATATCTTTCTTGCCGCTCCGCTTGTCTTAGTCGTCTAGTATTTGTAAAACTGCATCTTTCATGCCACTCCGGTTGTTTTAGTCGTCTAGTATTTGTAAAACTGCATCTTTCATGCAACTCTGGTTATTTTAGTTGTCTAGTATATGTAAAACTGTATCTTTCATGCCACTCTGGTTATTTTAGTCGTCTAGTATTTGTAAAACTGCATCTTCATGCCGCTCTGCTTGTTTTAGTCGTCTAGTATTTGTAAAACTGCATCTTTCATGCCGCTCTGGTTGTTTTAGTCGTCTAGTATTTGTAAAACTGCATCTTTCATGCCGCTCCGGTTGTTTTAGTTGTCTAGTATTTGTACAACTGTATCTTTCTTGCCGCTCCGCTTGTCTTAGTAGTCTAGTATTTGTACAACTGTATATTTCATGCTACTCTGGTTGTCTTAGTCGTCTAGTATGTGTACAACTGTACCTTTCTTGCCACTTCGCTCGTTTTAGTCGTCTAGTATTTGTACAACTGTACCTTTCTTGCCGCTCCGGTTGTCTTAGTCGTCTAGTATTTGTACAACTGTACCTTTCATGCCGCTCCGGTTGTTTTAGTCGTCTAGTATTTGTACAACTGTATCTTTCATGCCGCTCCGGTTGTCTTAGTCGTCTAGTATTTGTACAACTGTATCTTTCATGCCGCTCCGGTTGTCTTAGTCGTCTAGTATTTGTACAACTGTATCTTTCATGCCGCTCCGGTTGTCTTAGTCGTCTAGTATTTTTAATACCATATCTTTAATGTTCTAGTCATTAAATATTGGTTGTAAACACGAGACAAACCTGTTAACGCCCCTGTAATGTTCTTCCAAGTGTACATTTTGCACCGGCTAGTTTTTCAGTGAGAAGCACACAGTTTGTTGAGTTCCCACACGAAGCTATCACAAGAGATAGTTCTAATATGCACGTGTTGTGGTTGCATGTCAGCCCATATCACAGTTTGATCTGCAGGTACCCTGACAACACTTAAGGGGTGACATGACCTGACATACTGCAATATAATCTGTTGAGGATATGCAATGATCAATTCCACTGTTACTTTGTGCACCACCGGGTGTGAACAGACTTGTCGCCACCCGCTAGTCTAGATCAAGTTGGGAACATAAATCTTCAAATTGTCTGCCATAGTTGTTGACAGCTGACTCGTTTGATGTTTGATCAAAGCAAATTGAACCCATGAACCCATGAATCCACATTGTAAAAGTTCTCGTGTGTGATATATGATATAATCCTGTATAGGTCAACTTCCAGAATGAATACCGCCTTTCAATATAAAGTTACATTCATTACAATCATTTAAAAGAGATATTTCTATTTGAGACATCGCGGGTGTTCTTTCATCAAACAATTAATGTAGATATGTTCAGATATGTCCGGGACAAAATGGCTTTATGCAAATTTCTGTTCTGTTCTTTTGGCCCATTACTGAGCATCCCGAATTATGTTACAGCTACGATTCCAACTGATAGCAAGTTAGAAAATCACAATTTTGACAGTGACTCAAGTCGTCATTAAGATTTCCATAACATTCACTGTTTCGTGGTGTCTAGTGCAGCAGCCTGTCCAGAAAACCAGTTTCTGGTGTGCACGTTTTGTATTCACTCCAAGGTTCCAAATATAACAACGCCAATAGAAAAATGTTCACATTCTTTACTCAAGCATGAAGCAAGAATCTGGTAGTGAGATAAGTCAAGCAAACAAACCCAACAGATTCAAAAACAAATTGATTGGTATGCCGGTTGTCAAGGGGAAAAGGGGTGGGGTTGGGGTTGATTCATAAGGGTGTGAACTGCTAGTAGGAATACGAATAAATATAGCTGAAATTTGCAAAAGAATGGTAGTCAATGAGCTTAACCTGAACCTAATACTAACTATTCAACTGATTGTGTCACATCTCGAATTGTGCTCGAGCTGAGGCACCCGGTGTACCAGGCTGTGGCATCTCGAATACCGCTTCATCGAGCTGAGGCACCCGGTGTACCAGGCTGTGGCATCTCGAATACCGCTTCATCGAGCTGAGGCACCCGGTGTACCAGGCTGTGGCATCTCGAATACCGCTTCATCGAGCTGAGGCGTCCGGTGTACCGCACTCTGACATCTTGAATACCCCTTCATCGATCTGGGCGTCCGGTGTACTGCACTCTGACATCTTGAATACCCCTTCATCGATCTGGGCGTCCGGTGTACTGCACTCTGACATCTTGAATACCCCTTCATCGATCTGGGCGTCCGGTGTACTGCACTCTGACATCTTGAATACCCCTTCATCGGGCTGGGCGTCCGGTGTACCGCACTCTGACATCTTGAATACCCCTTTATCGAGCTGGACATCCTGTGTACCGCACTTTGGCATCTTGAATACCCCTTTATCGATCTGGGCGTCCTGTGTACCGCACTCTGACGTCTTGAACACCCCTTCATCGATCTGGGCGTCCGGTGTACCGCACTCTGACATCTTGAACACCCCTTCATCGAGCTGGGCGTCCTGTGTACCGCACTCTGACATCTTGAATACCGCTTCATCGAACCGGGCGTCCGGTGTACCACACTCTAGCATCTGGAATACCCCTTCATCGAGTTGGGCGTCCTGTGTACCGCACTCTAGCATCTGGAATACCGCTTCATCGAGCTGGGCGTCCGTCGTGCCAAAAAGGTGTTGGCACCCTCGTTTTTGGTGTCCGTCGTGATATTTGACGTAAAATCCCACAAATAGATATATTTTCTTTTTCTGACAGCACTGACCCAAACATTTCGTTCCACGATTATACAGTCTGTGACATCATTCCTTCAGTAGCCGACAACGGAGCCTATATATCTGAAAACAGGTCGCCAGCTGCTCCACGCCTGCAGCACACGCCACAACCTCCTCATCGTGAGCGGCGTGAACCCGTGGGACGTCCCCGCCAACTCGCTCATATACCACACAGGCGAATACATGAGCCCAGTATTTAAACCAGATGTCCCAACGATGGTAGCGCTCGCAATGTGTGCACATAAACCCGTGACGTATACGTCCTCTAAATATATGCGCGTAACGTGACGGGAAATCTCGTTCAGATCAGTCACCAGATCGCCCGAGATCACATACGATGGTCCATGAACGAACCTTGGGAAGCGTTCAAATGGATACTCTTCATAAGATAAGTGCCACTTGCTGGAACTGTCTCTGATTGGTGCCTCGCGGGTATCTGTGGTGTAGCCAATTATCGCACGTGCTTCACCTTCCATTAACTGTAGCATCCGAATCAAATTGGCAGACTCAAGAAACACGTCATCGTCAATTTTCATCACGTACCGAGCCTGTGGACAGAACTGTTTTGACCACTGCAGCATGGCGGTCGTTTTACGTGTAAGATTTTTGTAGGAGTCGATGAAATCTGCTTGTACAACATCGGAAAAAGTATCTCGCTCACTGGAAAGTTTCATGTTTGTTACCTCATCCGCCAGCCCTGACAGAAAAATCAGTTTCAGTTTCTCGTTTTTGTTGAACTGTGACCCCCACGTCTGCCGTATTGCTTGGCGTTCATGGAAGTTGGACGGTTTAGATGGAACTATGGCTACCAAGTACACGGGCTGGGAGACACCAGACCTTGAACACACCTCGGAATTGACCACGAACTGATACTCTTTCATCACCTGCCCGGAACGAACAAACGCCTCCAGTTTAGCGTCCGTCAGTTCTTGTCCACTTACGCCAGACTCATCAGTCTTCGTTTGTGTGTTACCATGGTGACTAGAATGTCTGTAGATCTGACAGCACCACACGCGGGTGAATCTGACGTAGGTGATGCAGCAGATGACAGTTGTTGCCATCACAAACAACGCTCTTCGTCTCCTTATCACTTCATTACCCCAGGACTGGTGGCGTCTCAAACGAAAATCCATCTGCAAAGAAATGAATAAATGTGAACTCTATCTTGTAGAAATCTTTCTCTGAAAATGTATTGTTCCTTGACTCCAGACAACGTAACAGTGGAATATCACACGGCAATCAAGCTCCAGAGTACAACGTTACAGTGGAATATCACACGGCAATCATGCTCCAGAGTACAACGTTACAGTGGAATATCACACGGAAATCAAGCTCCAGAGTACAACGTTACAGTGGAATATCACACGGCAATCATGCTCCAGAGTACAACGTTACAGTGGAATGTCACACGGCAATCATGCTCCAGAGTACAACGTAAAGTGGAATATCACACGGCAATCATGCTCCAGAGTACAACGTTACAGTGGAATATCACACGGAAATCAAGCTCCAGAGTACAACGTTACAGTGGAATATCACACGGCAATCAAGCTCCAGAGTACAACGTTACAGTGGAATATCACACGGCAATCAAGCTCCAGAGTACAACGTTACAGTGGAATATCACACGGCAATCAAGTTACAGTGGAATACCACACGGCAATCAAGCTCCAGAGTACAACGTTACAGTGGAATATCACACGGCAATCAAGCTCCAGAGTTACAACGTTAGAGTACAGTTACAGTGGAATATCACACGGCAATCAAGCTCCAGAGTACAACGTTACAGTGGAATATCACACGGCAATCAAGCTCCAGAGTACAACGTTACAGTGGAATATCACACGGCAATCAAGCTCCAGAGTACAACGTTACAGTGGAATATCACACGGCAATCAAGCTCCAGTTACAGTGGAATATCACACGGCAATCAAGCTACAACGTTACAGTGGAATATCACACGGCAATCAAGCTCCAGAGTACAACGTTACAGTGGAATATCACACGGGAATCAAGCTCAGAGTACAACGTTACAGTGGAATATCACACGGCAATCAAGCTCCAGAGTACAACGTTACAGTGGAATATCACACGGCAATCAAGCTCCAGAGTACAACGTTACAGTGGAATATCACACGGCAATCAAGCTCCAGAGTACAACGTTACAGTGGAATATCACACGGCAATCAAGCTCCAGAGTACAACGTTACAGTGGAATATCACACGGCAATCAAGCTCCAGAGTACAACGTTACAGTGGAATATCACACGGCAATCAAGCTCCAGAGTACAACGTTACAGTGGAATATCACACGGCAATCAAGCTCCAGAGTACAACGTTACAGTGGAATATCACACGGCAATCAAGCTCCAGAGTACAACGTTACAGTGGAATATCACACGGCAATCAAGCTCCAGAGTACAACGTTACAGTGGAATATCACACGGCAATCAAGCTCCAGAGTACAACGTTACAGTGGAATATCACACGGCAATCAAGCTCCAGAGTACAACGTTACAGTGGAATATCACACGGCAATCAAGCTCCAGAGTACAACGTTACAGTGGAATATCACACGGCAATCAAGCTCCAGAGTACAACGTTACAGTGGAATATCACACGGCAATCAAGCTCCAGAGTACAACGTTACAGTGGAATATCACACGGTTACAATCAAGCTCAAGCTCCAGAGTACAGAGTACAACGTTACAGTGGAATATCACACGGCAATCAAGCTCCAGAGTACAACGTTACAGTGGAATATCACACGGCAATCAAGCTCCAGAGTACAACGTTACAGTGGAATATCACACGGCAATCAAGCTCCAGAGTACAACGTTACAGTGGAATATCACACGGCAATCAAGCTCCAGAGTACAACGTTACAGTGGAATATCACACGGCAATCAAGCTCCAGAGTACAACGTTACAGTGGAATATCACACGGCAATCAAGCTCCAGAGTACAACGTTACAGTGGAATATCACACGGCAATCATGCTCCAGAGTACAACGTTACAGTGGAATATCACACGGCAATCATGCTCCAGAGTACAACGTTACAGTGGAATATCACACGGCAATCAAGCTCCAGTTACAGTGGAATGTCACACGGCAATCATGCTCCAGAGTACAACGTTACAGTGGAATATCACACGGCAATCAAGCTCCAGAGTACAACGTTACAGTGGAATATCACACGGGAATCAAGCTCCAGAGTACAACGTTACAGTGGAATATCACACGGCAATCAAGCTCCAGAGTACAACGTTACAGTGGAATATCACACGGGAATCAAGCTCCAGAGTACAACGTTACAATGGAATATCACACGGGAATCAAGCTCCAGAGTACAACGTTACAGTGGAATATCACACGGCAATCAAGCTCCAGAGTACAACAGTTACATCGCAACACCTGTTCGCCTGGATTGCTCGACCACTGCTTACAGACGCTCAGTCACAAGCCAACCAGCTGACGAATTGGTCTTGTAACTTGTCACTGATTCCATACCTTGTATTTTTTCAAATTTTATTTTCTGATAGTTTGGTTCTATTTAAGCACGATATGTTATCCTCTTCTGAAGAGACCTAACAACGCGACCATTCTGGATTTGTTCCTTTTGTCCTTGCAAATGTAAGAATAACGACCTCCTACTTTCCCAGACAATTCTTTCAGTATTCCAGACACCAAGCCTGTTGTGCAGTTACACATGTACATAAATACATATAGTGTGAAGAGGTTAGCCACACACGCGGATTGTTATTCTCTTTAGTATGATGAGTGAGTGAGTGAGTTCGGCCACGCCTACAGTGATGTGACGACGTATGAGATTGGTGGTAGGGATGTGGTGGACGTTCAAAGCGGGTTTCGAACCGACGCTCAGAGGTTCCTGACATGATTAGGGAACGCAGCTCCCCCCATCGGACTCCGGCGGATTCAGGGGACGGGGCATACATACTGTTAACTGTTTCAATCTGAAGAGAGGGTCAGATAATGAACAATGCCGGAAGACTGACATGTGTTAAATGAACGTCTTCTGTAGCACTGAGTAGCATGCACATGTATCGTCATGACAACCACGGACTGAACGTTCAGTGTCAGGCCCAGATTGTGTGATTGTCTAATAGGCTGCTAGCCTGTGACAGGGCGCCATGTAATGCCCTGATTGTGTGATTGTATAACAGGCTGCTAGCCTGTGACAGGGCGCCATGTAATGCCCTGATTGTGTGATTGTATAACAGGCTGCTAGCCTGTGACAGGGCGCCATGTAATGCCCTGATTGTGTGACTGTCTAATAGGCTGCTAGCAAGTGACAGGGCGCCATGTAATGACCTGACTGTGTGATTGTCTAATAGGCTGCTAGCAAGTGACAGGGCGCCATGTAATGACCTGATTGTGTGATTGTCTAATAGGTTGCTAGCCTGTGACAGGGCGCCATGTAATGACCTGACTGTGTGATTGTCTAATAGGCTGCTAGCAAGTGACAGGGCGCCATGTAATGACCTGACTGTGTGATTGTCTAATAGGTTGCTAGCAAGTGACAGGGCGCCATGTAATGACCTGACTGTGTGATTGTCTAATAGGCTGCTAGCAAGTGACAGGGTGCCATGTAATGCCCTGATTGTGTGACTGTCTAATAGGCTGCTAGCAAGTGACAGGGCGCCGTGTAATGACCTGATTGTGTGATTATCTAAAAGGTTGCTAGCAAGTGACAGGGCGCCATGTAATGACCTGATTGTGTGATTGTCTAATAGGCTGCTAGCAAGTGACAGGGTGCCATGTAATGCCCTGATTGTGTGACTGTCTAATAGGCTGCTAGTAAGTGACAGGGCGCCATGTAATGACCTGACTGTGTGATTGTCTAATAGGCTGCTAGCAAGTGACAGGGTGCCATGTAATGCCCTGATTGTGTGACTGTCTAATAGGCTGCTAGCAAGTGACAGGGCGCCATGTAATGACCTGATTGTGTGATTGTCTAATAGGCTGCTAGCAAGTGACAGGGTGCCATGTAACGACCTGATTGTGTGATTGTCGGAAAGGTAGCACCTGTAGGAGACTCATTATATTTTTGTGACTCTGTAAGCAAGTCTAGTTCACTATCCGGGTACATATTTTTGTGACTCTGTAGGCACGTCTAGTTCACTATCCGGGTGCATATTTTTGTGACTCTATAGGCACGTCTAGTTCACTATCTGGATACATATTTTTGTGACTCTGTAGGCACATCTACTTCACTATCTGGGTACATATGTTGTGACTCTGTAGGCACGTCTAGTTCACTATCAGGGTGCATATTTTTGTGACTCTGTAGGCACGTCTAGTTCACTATCTGGGTACATATTTTGTGACTGTAGGCACGTCTACTTCACTATCAGGGTGCATATTTTTGTGACTCTGTAGGCACGTCTAGTTCACTATCTGGGTACATATTTTGTGACTCTGTAGGCACATCTACTTCACTATCTGGGTACATATTTTGTGACTCTGTAGGCACGTCTAGTTCACTATTGGTACATATTTTGTGACTCTGTAGGCACGTCTAGTTCACTATCTGGGTACATATTTTGTGACTCTGTAGGTACATCTACTTCACTATCCGGGTACATATTTTTGTGACTCTGTAGGCACGTCTAGTTCACTATCCGGGTGCATATTTTTGTGACTCTGTAGGCACGTCTAGTTCACTATCTGGATACATATTTTTGTGACTCTGTAGGCACATCTACTTCACTATCTGGGTACATATGTTGTGACTCTGTAGGCACGTCTAGTTCACTATCAGGGTGCATATTTTTGTGACTCTGTAGGCACGTCTAGTTCACTATCTGGGTACATATTTTGTGACTGTAGGCACGTCTAGTTCACTATCAGGGTGCATATTTTTGTGACTCTGTAGGCACGTCTAGTTCACTATCTGGGTACATATTTTGTGACTCTGTAGGCACATCTACTACACTATCTGGGTACATATTTTGTGACTCTGTAGGCACGTCTAGTTCACTATTGGTTCATATTTTGTGACTCTGTAGGCACGTCTAGTTCACTATCTGGGTACATATTTTGTGACTCTGTAGGCACATCTACTTCACTATCCGGGTACATATTTTTGTGACTCTGTAGGCACGTCTAGT